GCTGACGGCTTTAGGTTCCCCCGAGGGACCTGGTAATGAGGATTAATGCCTTACCAAAGGCAAAGGGCACTAGCGCATCGCCTTGGTTTCGAACCCGGGTCACCGGATTACGAGACCACTGGTCTACCGACTGAGCTATCGCGCCTCGTTTTCTAGAACCAAGTTTTGATTTTCATGTGTCGCTAATTTATAAAACAAATAATGCACTTGACCCTGTTGTGCGTAATGTAAGTCTAGACTCTAGTGTACGCTCAGTTTCTTCAGATGGCAAACCTCACATGCACTGCATTCACCACCAACGAACGCTGGGCTGTGCGTTAAATTGACAGGGGCCGAGGTCTATTATTAAAATTTAATTTAAATTAAATTATTTATCTAGACCCTCTAGGCCTAGGGGCCTAGATCTACGAATTAATTAGACCTATGCCCTACCACTGTCCTTGGAAATCATAATAAATAATTTAAAACAAGAATAGATCTAGACTAAGAGTTCTTTCTTCTGTCTCTGAACTCTGAACTCTAACTGAACTCTGCTCTGCATCTGTGCAGTTGTTGGACACAGACAACATGAACATTTTGAGCTCAACATTCATGAGAATTGAGAGTGACACAATTAATGAGACACGCATGACTTTGACAATTGACTTGTTTACAAATCAAAACTTTCAAACAGACTTGTCTAGATCTAGTCGACTAGATTATTGCAGAATGCAGTGTGGACAAGTGTAATTTTTGTTATACTGCCTCTAGCTCTATTGTACTATCACATATACATCGTTGCATGGTTAAAAAGTTTTAATAAGCTTGTCAATCAATTAGCTGCATGCATGCTGCAATGCAAGACAAGAGTGCAACACGTACACTGCACCGCCATATCCAAGTGCCATAGCGACGCTACACGCGGACCGGTACCTGGCGGGGGTTACAGGAGGCCGTCTAGGCATGCAGTCATAATCTAGTCGAGCGCGAGAGCATGCCCAGCCAATCAACAATACCATCCATCTCCCGTGTTTCTGCGTTTTAGAAAAGCAAATTTCGAATTAAAACATACCTAAGAATGTCACCGAGAGAAGGGAAAGTCCAGATGTACGGAAAAAATCGTCGGCTACTTAAAATTCAAAATCTGACAGGGATTTTAGTGGTATGTTCACAACGTCGTATTTCGTCCGCATCCACACAAATTTCAACAAGTTACAACGATGACCGGACTAACGCTATCGATTTGCTATTGTGAGAAAATAGGACTCTACCACTCTGGTCATACGTACATTTTCTACAAGCGGTACTTCTTTTTATGATTTCTATTTAAATTAGGTTATAATCTAAGGTATAAAAAGTACCAAGATATTCATATAAACTTATTTCTTCTCTTTTAATCTCTTCTAATTTTGTTTTCTATTTATACATTTTAGTTTCTATTGAACAATTAGTACATAGTATACCCTCCAATGAAATAGAATCGTTCCAAGTTGCACCTGCCTCAGCTCACAGCATACATTCCTCGCATTTTTTGACAATGCTAAAGTTTATTGGTAAAAGAGCTGTTGTGGGTTTTATGATATCTAGATGACCCCAACCCCAATTAGCTTACAGAAGTACAATTTCACCCGCTGCAATGTGGTTGATGAAGTTGTTTGTAAATTATTTATTCCCCGTTTTTTTTTCTTTCTGAGAAGGGTTGGGGTTTGTCAAATTGAGTAGTGTGTGTGGGGGGGGGGGGGGGTAGGCATATTGTGTTTCATGCAATGCCTGTACTTGTAGTAATTCTTTGAACAAGACCATAATTGAAATTTCAAGTCATTCCATTAGTTCGATCTCAATTTCAATAATCTCTGTGTGTATTATAATCGTCTTTGAGGTATTAGTTGTCGAAGAGCAACGTTGCGTCATATATATTATATCATCATCAATAACTCTGGCAATAATCTAATCGTGCACCATATCGGTCATTGGTAATTTATAAGGATTAAAGAAGTTTTGTTTTTCTAAGAAGAATACAACAATCATCAGCTATTACCAGGATTACGCAGACTATAGTATCCTGTGACTGAGTCATGATTATTATATACCACAAAACTATGCGACTGGTCATTAATCAACGCAAAGACGGGCGGGGTCCCCCTACTCTAATTAATGACGTCCAACGCAAATCACAATGGCCTTCGACCGGACCCATCGATTCACACCCCCCCCCCCCCCCCCCCCCCCCCCCCCCCCCCCCCCCCCCCCCATCACGGGATTAATAGTATGTTGATTGGTGTAGGGCTTTTAAGCCTTAATGAGTGACTTCCGAGAATAGATCAGGAGCGCGATCACACGCACTTCATCTCCACTATTTTGCTCGATACAAGCTCGATACACAAGATAATAGTTTAGTCCCTGGTTTAACGTAAACAGAACAGAAAGAACAGGTGCCGAAAATGAGCTAAAGTCAGGGGGCCGTAAACATTATTAGTATACCCAATTACAGATTGTCGCATTACTCGCAGTTATTATTATTTTTTTATTAATTCATTTATCTATTTCATGTGTATCTTCCTATTTATTTATTTACTCATTTATTTATTTATTAATATTTATCTATTTATTCATTCATTTATGATCTATTATAGGGCTAGGGTGCGCTAATCAGAGAATTTGTACCTTAATAGTTATCTTTGTTTTCGTTCCAGTCTTAAAACAATAGCTGAATATTCTTAATACCAATTCGACTATTATGTTGTAGCCTATCGACTTGTCAAATTGTCTGTAAGGAAATTTCTAACCATATCTCGAGATATTTCTTTTGTTAATGTGAGAATACATAGCATAGCCTTGTTGGGGGGGGGGGGGGCATAACAATAATTTCTATCATTTCGACCGGCTTATTGGACTTTTCTCTGAATGGCCTCTCAATGAAATCGGGAGAATGGGGTGTTGCTCATTTCTTTGTCAGAACTCACAAGAATATAATTTGCAGCACAACCAAACCCAGTTGGTTGGTTGGTTCTTCGTTTAGATGGCGCTCTTCAATCTCAAAGATTATTTGCGCCAGTCAATTTCGTGTATAGCTTTGGCGTGGGCTTCGGAAATCAAGCCCACGAGCGACTTTCCTTGGTGAAATGATATTAATAGTGATATGGTTTTATAAAAAAAAAAAAAAAAAAAAAAAAAAAAAAAAAAAAAAAAGTTTTTGCCAACAAACTTGATCAATAGAGGGCGCCATACTACCCTAGATTCAGTCGTTATTACAACATCAAAAATAACTCAGTGGACAATTATTATGTATTATAGATTTTCGCTATCCTTTTTTAACAAAATGTGTAGAAATGTGTAAATGGTATCAATCAGGGGCGACATAACAGGCAAAGGTGTGAGTGCTCTCTTAATAGATGGACCTAGGATTTGGGCAGAAAGTAGTACAAAATGTGCTTCCCAGACATTATAATTATAATAATAATAATAATAATCCAAGTCAATTCTGTTATTACTTCTTTTTCTTCTTCTTCTCCTCATTTTCCTTTTGTTTTGTTTTGTTTTTGTTTTTATTCTTCTTTCTCTTCTTCGTCTTCTACTTTTTCTTATTCTACTCTTTCTTCTTCTTCTTCTTTTTTCTTCTTCTTCTTCTTCTTCTTCTTCGTCTTCTTCTTTTTCTTATTCTACTCTTTCTTCTTCTTCTTCTTCTTCTTCTTCTTCTTCTTCTTCTTCTTCTTCTTCTTCTTCTCCTCCTCCTCCTCCTCCTCCTCCTTCTTCTTCTTCTTCTTCTTCTTCTTCTTCTTCTCCTCCTCTTCTTCTTCTTCTCCTCCTTCTTCTTCTTTTTCTTCTTTTTCTTCTTCTTCTTCTTCTCGCTGTGATAGATTTATGAGATATTATGAATTGTGAGGTCATTTCATTTGTTTGCTTATGCATCTGAAGTTCTCAACATACAGCTATGATGAACACATTTTTAGAAATAATCACTGGATACATCTCAAGAGACAAACAATGCCGGTCTCTTCCCGGTTCAAGTTCCGACAACTTCTCTGACGGTTCGCGAGACCGATACCTTCAGTCTCGCGGGCTGTCGGCCTCATGAGCATACTATCCTAAATGTATAGGCCTAAACATACACAAGAAAAGAGACACTGTCCTACTTCTAGCTATTCACTATGATCATGATACATAGCTTGAGGGGGCGTTGCTCGCCAAGCGTAAGAAATATAATATAAAGTGCATGATTAAAATAAATTTCGATTTCAGTTTCCCACCACGTAAATCGTGAATCACAGGAAAGCAAACACATTCGCAGAAATACAGTTACACAGGCTTCATCATCTAATATTTATCGAACAATTATTTGCTCGGTGTATGAGTATATACAATTATAACAACATGCCAAAATCTATTCAAATACCGCACATACAAAACAGGTTCAAAGTACAAATATTTTAGCCAAACTTGAGATAAAAGTCATGAGAAAAGTAATAAACAATACAAATGTTTGGGAGAGCGCAATAATAATATAAACTACAATACAATCGACAGAGGGGAAATAGAGAAGGGTATAGAGAGAGAGAAGGGAAAGAGACAGAGGGAAAAGGAGAGACAGATAGACGGATAGAGACAGAGAGACAGAGGGAAAAAGGGAGAGAGAGAGAGAGAGAGAGAGAGAGGGGGGGGGGGGGGGTCTGTAAATGTTTACTGATGATGTAATATCAAATGATGGAGAACATTTTTTTAAACAGACATAAAAAGTCATTTAGGCAAAAAAAGATGAAGAAGGATAAATCGGGTAACGAAAATTCTGCAGAAAATGTGTGATTTTGCGAAGTCTTTATTGTTGCCATGGCAAACTATTTAATGAGGCGGAGGAGCAAGGGCAAGGTCCCCCATTTCTCTCCTGGGTATGGAGTGGCAATTTTAGATTAATGCCTTGCATCGAACCAACGACCTATATATGCATTTCAAGTCTAGTGCTTGAATCATTCGACTATACGACACCTCTACAAAAGATCTTATATAGACATTACATTTTTACTTACCTGGTTTGAAAATCTATTTGGCCGTTTTACACACCCTCTCTTGATGGCGATTAGTAACCTGAAGATGAAAATATAAAATGAAAGTTAGAGAAGTTTGTTGATTTGCACTAATGCAAACAATTTGTTATAGTGACATCCTATAATTGATGCATGTATACACTGCGTGTCCTTCTCTGCTAGTAGCCTTTCGATGTCATTTTGTCAGTGGAATATATCTGCTAGAAATAACAGTACAATGATTGCATTTAGTCAAGCAAATAACGTTGATACATGCCCGATTAACAGGTGACAGTTTACCGATATTTTTTTTGAAGGAGAAACCGAGCCCCTGCACCCCACCCCACCCCACCACCTCCGCCCTCATGCATTGTACGCATATTCTGCTTGTATTTATGATGGCATAGATTCGCCATTCATTTTAAAGAAATTCCTCTTTCTAACAAAATTGAATAAGACACAGTCTTAGTCTCCCCACAGCTATATATAATATAACTGTCACAACAAAATACAGATTCATGTGTGTCGAGGCCGAAAGTTCATCCACAAAAATGACTTTGATAGACGTGTGTGAATTATGAACCCATAAACATTCTAAGGTACAAACTCGTTCTAAAGCCTTTTTAACAACGATAACCTTTGCAGACAGCAAGGAAAACACACATAAATACTTGTTCATTGACCCGCTAAACAATATCATTGTGATATTTTTTCCTTTTCTGATTTTCCCGGTCAACAGTTGAACGTCTATTCAGTTTGAACATTTGACCGATATTCATGGCACTTATGGAATTTCGGGGGCTTCTTCTAATTCTCAATAAAACAAAAAAATTAAAGGAAAATCAATCGGAGCTAATTGAAAAAGTAGGTCGTATAAAGTGTCTGGACTACAACGTCATAATACAGGTGGAAGGATAAAAAGATATAATATTTTATCGATTTCTTCTTGAAATTAGCCTACTTTGGTAGGCCATTTTGGATCAGGGAAGAAAGCTGTTTTGCTCTGTTGTGGACAACACCTTTCATGGACTTCATAATAATGACAACCTTGGGGTTTCCATTGACAAAATGTAGGACAAGTATTCGTGTCATTTCTGGTGACCACATAGTATTATTATTATTATTATTATCAATATCATGGTTGATAGTATTTTTTCAAGGGCCTCTGTGGCAAATCTTTGTTTGACTACGATTTATGAAAAAATAAGATTAGTATTAATAGTAAGACATTTTTTGTTATTTTACTTTTGTAAACTCCATGCAATTCAGCCCTTAATTGGGCTGCCATGTGGATTCTTTTAAAACAAACACAATTTCAATTCAATTTAATACTTGCTGAAAAACCACTGAGAAAAATAACGACATAATTATGAATAACTCGATGACCCCTTTTCAAGAACATGAACAACCCTGTCTTTCAAACAAGCCAAAGGTTATTGCAATAAGTTAGCCTATGAACAATAATCATAATGAGATAATATTTCTATTCCTATAATGAGCAAAATGTCGAAGCGAAACTGATATTAAAGCTATGACTTTGGTTTAGTTGATCAAAGAAACTGATGATTATGTTCGACTTTTGAAGAATGTAAATAATCTCAATTACTTCACTGAATATATCTCTATCTATAATGGATTTTACTATTCATTTGGGGTGTATACATAATTTAATACGTCAAAAAGATCGACAAAAAGGTGGGTATCAGAATATACGAATTATAAAATTAGAATTATCCTCATTTTGTGGTGCGCGTGTGTTGGGGAAGGTTTTTTTTAGGGATAGGGGGTAGGGGGAGAGGGAGTTTGAGGTAGTTTATGTTATATTGTTTTCATTCTGTCATTATTCTGTCCTATTATTCGAAACGTATGGGCTTGTTTTTGTATTATCTATAAAAATGTAATTTGTTTTCTATGAATTTCTTCAATGGAAGCACGATAAATAATATTATTTTTAAAAAAATCCTTCATAATTATTTTGCATATATAAGCTTACGTACACCCATGCCCCCCCCTCCTCTCTCTCTCTCTCTCTCTCCCTCTCTCTCTCTCCCTCTCCCTCTCTCTCTCTCTCTCTCTCTCTCTCACTCTTTCTCGCTCTTTGATACACTCGAACTCACAACAAAACTTTTCTCAATTCCCAGTTATTTTCTTTCTAGCGCAATGAGTCACTCTGGAACGACTTTGTTTTGTGTACTTACTCGCAGAGGAGTACTCCATTCAAAAGCGACTTCTGAAGGTCCTTCGGATCCGTCAAATCACGGTATGTCACTTCCTGAAAAAGGAAAAGAAAAGGAAAAAAAAGTCATTTTTTAATTTTTGTTTTCACGTGGGAAGAATAAGATTCTTTACAAGTTTAATTTTCTCGGAAATGAAATTGTACAATTGTAAAATGAAACTTATAACTTACGACAACATCTTTAAGCCAAACAAAGAAGACGTGCTTCTCGGAAAAAGGAGCAGTGAAATAATATGTACAAATTATAAAAACGAACTTTAAGTTGAAAATATGGAATTGTGTCTAACAATTTCGTGTTTTTTCTCCCCTCTCTCCCTCTCTCGCTCTCTCTCTCTCTTTCTCTCTCTCTCTCTCTCTCTCTCTCTCTCTCTCTCTTCCTCCCTTCCCATCTCTACCTCTTTCAATCGTCCATTGTTTGTCATGTGATGGGGGGGGGGGGGCATTTCCTTCATTGCCCTTCGCAGCTTCTGGTTGACAACAAACAATTCATATATTTTATTTGCATTAGATCAATTGCACAATTATCATTAGGGCCTACAGATGAAATAGTAATACGTTTCGTCATATGACAAAGATTAAAATAGTGAAATTTGCCTCAGCTATTCAAATCGCAGAAAAATTGGAGCTAATCAATGCTTTATGATACAGTTGAATCAGTATTTGCATAGTTCATTGAAGATGACAATAGCAAGAGAAATGTTGCGTGCAGAGCAAAATAAAAATCAATTTGGGGGCAGATGTTTGTGTATACCCACAGTGCCGCGACGTACCATTGTTTTCTGTAGCTTTATGCATTATCTCATAATTCGGAGCTGTATAAAATGACACAGAATGTGTGGGTAGAAAAGCAAAATAACTCCGCAATTTGAATCCAAATCATACTACAATAACTACACTGGGTTTATAACAGACACGAAAAACAGGCATTTTATACTTAAATAGGCAACCTGTAACCTGTAGTCCAAGTGTTACATATGAATTTCTTATACATGGACATAATTATGTGCGTAGGGAACATTGATTTCATAGGGGGGGGGGGGGGCGTCAACCGTAGTATTAGTGCATGTAATCTAAATATACAAAGCTATGGATGCGATGGGGAGGGAGTGGTCGTATCGTAGCCTTTTTAAGCTCCGTTAACCCTATCCCGTTTTTAAAAATCTTTTTCTTGATTTTCCCTTATTATATCCTTAATTTCACGAAGCGATTGGGGAATGGGCATGTGGATACGCCATTGTCCTCGAGAAAAAGAAAAAATACCGTACTCCTGGACCAGGACATAATGACTATAACGGGGGAGGATACAGATTAACATTCTTTCTATACTATTCAAATGGAAAAGTCGCCCTATTTGAGTATGTGGAAGACAAACAGAGAATGACACACACGGTCATGACAGTGAAACACTGTTCAAGATCATTTTGGAATACAGAGTAAGAGAGCGGGCAGGACTATTTGTTCACCATTTCAACAATAAAAGAAATCTACCAGAGAACACAAATTCACTTCCTTTTCATGAATGCCCTTTCATGCCACGAGGCTCGAGTACATGTCACTCCATTTCAACATATTCTAATGAAATCAGAATTTGTACAATGAACCTTGAAAATAATATTTCAAAGAGGGAAAAAATGCGTCCTGAACTACCATTGTGAATGACGTTACTTTTCCTTGACATTAAAATTCTTGCCCTGGTTATTCATAAAAGTGCGTTCGCAAGGTCATTCGAGTTCTGATATTGCAGACAAAAAATATATGTAATTGTTTTAGCACAGACTTAGAGTTTTGACTAGAACAAGCAACTGGCATTTATATTTCAGCATGGCCGATAACCATGTACCATGTTATATTCTAAATATCGAAATCATAACAAGCAAAATTCGTTGACGGTTCTAATGGCCTGTCCAAATCGATGACTACTTGTCGCCGAATTTCTCAAATAGTCTGCATTCACATTTTGTCAGGCCTGGCCGTCAAATTGAGTCCTAAGATTTATCCTCAATTATATGACAATAGAAACAATAACGTTGTTTTTAAATTTACTATGATTATAGAGTAAATGACCATGATACAATTGTTTCGACCTTTTTAAGGAGTTCTATACATAAAACATTGGTTCCTAAATGTTAAATGAAACATACTGAAAAGTTCCACAAGCAAAATGATCATCGGATTTACAAACGTCCCCCTATTTGTTCGTTTGTTTGTGGTTTTGTTGTTGTTGCTATAACGAATGACCTGGATTATTTTTGAAAAGGGCTTGTAATCATGTGTATAAATCATATAATCGTAAAAAGCAAAGGCGCATAGCTATATGGAAAGCGGGGACATGTTCTCCCCCCCCCCTCATTCCCCTTTTTGTGAGAGAGAGAGAGAGAGAGAGAGAGAGAGAGAGAGAGAGAGAGAGAGAGAGAGAGAGAGAGAGAGAGAGAAAAAAAAGAGGGGGAGGGGAGGGGAGAACGCAAAAAGAAGACGACCCTTCTTCCATATACTATTCATTCAACTCGATGGGTCGTAATCATTATTGGTTCCAAAATCACAGTCGGTTTCCTTAAGTTCTCTTTCGGATTTCACCTATATAGTAAGTGAGGTGCCCCATCAGTGCCCACTCACGGCTACGCCACTGATAAAGATGATAAAGAATAATACAAGTAAAGAATTCCAAAGAGGGTAAACCGATTTTGAACGTGCGTCTACATGGAGGTATAGATCAATAATCGAGATATTCGAACAAAAGTAAAGTCATGATTGATCACAAACTTTTGACCTTTTTTGACTGCCAGAACGATTTGTAGCTTTATGCATAAAAGAAGAAAAAAAGAATGGTATTACGAACAAAAGCGGCAGAAGTTATTTTAACAATACTGTGGAATGTTTCATTATCTGCTTAGAATTTAGATACCCTTGACTAGCCATACGTCAAATTTCTTCTCTTCTTTTCGTTATTGTGGGAAGACTAAGTCTTATGAGTATTAATTTTGTATATACCATAGCCAAAGTTCTGAGATCATTTTTTGTGTGGCACGCCATTGAATGTTCGTTCTTGTGAGCAGGGTCCCAAACGAACAGAGTGTGTCATGAAAATCAATAGCCTTTGAGTCTTTTAGGAACCTTATTCAACTCACATTGGTAGTGCTACCTATCATAAATACTACTTCTACTACCTTTACGACTAAAAAACTACTACTAACACAACTACTACTACTACTACTACTACTACTATACTACCACTACTACTGCTGATGCTGATGCTGCTGCTACTGCTACTGCTGCTGCTGCTGTAACTATTACTTCCATGATGTAATACATAATACAAAATGTTACATTACTACCCAGGCTGTTTATTATGACAAAACCTAAAGCATTTAAGGAATTTTTGGTCATACCGGGTACCCATTTACTTCACCTGGGTGAATTTAAACGTGGTGAAATAAAGTTACTTTTAGCACATAATAAGCAACTCAAAGTTTTATCCCCCTACAACAGCACTTCAGTTTTATTCTATTGCTGTGAACAGAATATCAAACCTCGGCACACGTATAATCATTATTATTTTATGCACCACCGTGTATTATCTGTCCAACTTTTCACATTTCCGCATTGATGCAGTTTCCACCAAACTGTGACGAAACGTTCTTTTATAAAGCATGTTGAGAACAGATTCAAATGATCATAATAACCTCTGATAAGATCTAGGCCTATTCTTATAACAAAAAAAAGATTACCACGGTAATGAAAACGAAAAGAGTGGAGTGAACGAAAATTTTAAGTGTTACCACGGTTTCCAACGAAGTGTAACGAATTAAGAGATTATTTTGTGACCATCGATTTGAAGTAAACTATTGGGTCATAGTTTGCCTATACAATTTTATAAGGCAAATACGCCTTACAGGAGGGCATTTAGTTGGATATTTCTATTTCCAACTATGAAATATTTTGTTTCAGTTAGCATTGCATGTTTGATTTTTGGTAATGATTAGGGTTTTTTCGGGAGAGGAGGGGGGGGGGGGCGGTTGGCTGATGTCAACATTTTTGAGTGAGTCCTGCCCCGAAATTATTCCATGACATAAGAAATTATGTCATGAGCAACGTGTAAAGGATATATTTGTTTTGCTTTTATACATTGAAGATTCAAGGGGGGAAACAGTTGAGAAAAAAGGGATATGCTGATTTGATTTTTATTGAGACGATTGATCACATTTAGATTAGAGTTGGGCTTTCTATGGTGAAAGATAAGATTATGCACACTTTGGAAAAGAGAATAAAGGTACAACATATTTATGATATAGACCAAAGACTTCTTGAATAGCAACCCTTTTCGTATAGGTGAAAATAGAGTGACACTTAAGCACCATAGAAGCTTCGATATTGAAACTGTATACCCAGTAACTTTTGGAAAGGTGCAATGCAAAAACTAAATGGTACAGCGATGCACCATGGATAAGGGTGCAGAACTATTTAAAATCCACCATAACCTTTGAGTTTAATAGTGCATTCCTGTAGCACAGTGACAAATAATTGAGCTAAAAACATAATAGTTCTGTCTATATTAGCTTCCTCATTCACTACTGACAGCCTGCGTTCTGAAGTGGCAGTGTTAGACAAGATAATCTTCTTTAAAATCTTAAAGCCGATTTGACACATATCTTCCTTGATGCTCTGTAAAGCGCTTGTAACCCCCCCCCCCCCAGAAAATCAACAGACAAAGGAGGGAGAGGGAGAGGGAGAGAGAGGGGTAGTTTGGGGAGGGAAGATGGAGAGAGAAGGGAAGAAGAAGGGGAGGGGAAGCTAAAGAAAGGGAGAATATATGAGAGGGGATAAAGGGGATGATAACAGAATATAGAAGAGAGAAGGTCGTATAGGGGCGCATAAAGGCCAAATGAAAAAAAGAGGTGCAGAAATGTTGTAGTCCTAACTCCCCCCACCCTCCAATGCACACACACTCAATCATTTTCACTTATTTCATTAATTTCATGCATCATTGAATATTGTAACATTGTCATCTCTAGTTGTTTAACAACAAGAGTTCAAAAAGG